AAATTGTCTGTTTGCTGAACTGCCCCTGCTGACGACGACCTGCTATTATTACACGCATCCTCTGAGACAAGAACAAATTTTCTATGATGATTTCTGTTGCAGAAATAAAGGCATGAAAATTAAACACTCTGCAGGTGCCTTCCCTTATATCTTCAGCGTGCACTGGAGAGCTGCACATTTCGCACCATTCACGTAACTCGGTGAAATTTTGAATGTTGGATAGTGTATGCCATGCACTGAGATCTTTTTTGTGTAGTGCGATTTACTGATATGTGGTATGGACAACTCATTTCCAAAGTTATTATTTATTATTATTATTTTTTTCTTTAGTTTATTTTGTTTATCAGTAGCATTATCTGGCCATAAGAACAAGTTTGTCATATTTTTTTTTTTTTTTTTTTTTTGCTATTTAAGTCTTGGAAACTCTTGCTTTCTTTTCAATACATTGTGCTGCATTTGTTAAATATTTTGCTTAGTAAAATTTTACTAAAAATTATAAAATTTTTATAATCTTGTCATTAAAAGCATATATTAGTCAATGTTTCAAAAAGCAAAACTGTGACTGTGAAGGCTCATATGTTATTGCCTGTAAAGATTGGATGAGTAAACTTGCAAACTCTTCAACTTTTTACAAATCTTCAAATAACAGAATTAGTCCATAATTTTTATACAGTCAAAAGTCGTTAATTCGGACACCCATAATCTGGAATGATCTATAATCCGGACCTCAAAGCTACAAACTTTCTGCGCATGCGTCGTGTCGACCTTTACGGCTGCGAATATGCGTGTGCGCATGCACAAAATACGTTTACTCATGCACGTTTAATGAGTAACGGACGATATAAGCTAAGCTAAAATTATCTAATTAAGTTAATGTTGCAGATTGTGTTGTTCCTTAATCTTCGAATTAGATCCGGCTTATTATTTTTTGCAGACTGTTAGAGCAATTTTGTAAAAGTAAGCTTGAACTTTCGATTATGTCAATTAAAATTTCCGATGTATATTTACTAATATGTTGGAATATGTAAAGGATCTACCAAAGCGAAAGTATGTTTGGAAACCCATTAAACAAAAGTGGAATTGCTGCAAAAAATGACCTAACCATTATAAAATCTGTTTATCAATTTCACGCTGCTCTGCGGCTGAGGATGGGGGAGAACAGCGCGCAATGAATTGGAAGTTGATCTGTCAGCACTATCCTTATCTTCAGGGCAGATGTTTTCATTCTATTTGGCTTATAATTCCTTACTAAATGTAGTATTTCATCTCTATGTATTCAGTCTTTGATATGATTTAAATCAAGTTCCTCGTCATTGTAATTTGCTTCTGATAGTGAAGAAAGTGACACAGAAGTTACTGAAAACGAAAAAATTTCGATTGACAAATTAGTCGGTATTCTCGACACAGCAATTATAGGACTTGAACAGCGGAACTTTGTAACTGAACAAGAAATTATGTCTGTTTATAGAATTAAAGAGAAAGTATTATCACATAAAGCGAAGCAAACAACTTACATTGAAAGAAATGTTTAATAAAATAAACAAATAAATATTAAGCTTCTTTTTTGTAAATTTTGATACCTTTAGATCATAATTTTTCTTTATTTCATAAATTACAGTTTCATATTTTTAATTTTATAATTTCTGCATGCCATTCTACCAGATTTAAACTGATGATCTATAATCTGGAATCGCGAAGTCCCGACGAGTCCGGGTTAACGACTTTTGACCGTAATTAGGTGATGACGTCAAATATTTTATAAAACTGACGACGAACATCTGCCACTAACTTCATCTATATTTATAACATTATTAATTATCTACATTTTTGATATCAAAACACATGATAAAAGCATTTGGAAGCTGAATAGGATTTAACGTATTTTAGTAACCTAAATGGGCAGTTCGGTACCATTTTAACTATTGATAAGTGATCTATGAGTTGATAAAGTTTGCTGTTCAATAGCCATTTAGAATGTAAACAGTATCTGCCAATGAAAGGATAAAGATTTGGGATCAAAAACTGTGATCTGTGAATCAAAATCTGGATATGTATGGTGAGGCGCTATATATAAAGGCAAAGGTACACTTTTGGACTCTGAGTTGAATTATCATTGCATTTCTTTACAAATAATTTACAGCAAAGACTAGATGAGCTACTGTGTGAGAACAGATAGTTATTACTCCTATCCTGAACTGGCTGACAAAATCATAGCTCACTTGATGGATACATATGGAATAATAAAGTTTATATTCCTCCAAGTATTTAAACAGAAAGAAATTGAAAAATGGCAGCTTCTCGAAGAAAAGTTGGCATATTGTGATGGAAAGATTAAAAAAAAAAGTCCCATGATGACAACTATCTACAATACTGAAATAACTTATGACAGAAAATAATAATAAATTAAAGATTGTAGTACAAATAATGATATAACTGGAGAAGTAGATAATTGATCAGCACTTAACCAAATACCTTGTGACAAACCTCTCGTTCCTGTTGTTTCTGGTTGAAACCTGTTGTTCACATGGAATTCGTATATTCTGTACATGGAAACAGGAGGCACAAAATCTCTTTCCATTTATAATAGAACTGATTTATATTATTGAAATGTACAGTGCATAGAATCTTCCATTGAGAAGATATCTAGGATGTAAAGTAAATTCACTTATATTCAGAAATCACAATTTCTTAAAATATTTCATTCCTGCTGAAAAGGGAACAGCAACGTCTATATGCTGTTCTAAGAGAAATGAATTTGGCAAGAAGATTAAAAAAGAAAAAATATATTATTGCCATGACTGCAATTCTTTGTTTTAAAATATCATATACCAGGCTAATTTAAATTTAAAGCTGAAAATTTCCTGATGTATATGCAAAATTTTCACTGTAAATACTGCATGTGTGGGAAAAGCCAACAGGGTACAGGAGTAGTTATAATTTTTGTCTATATGTATACTTATTTTTGACGTATAATTTTTCATGTATAATTTATCTAATGCAGTTTTATTTCGCATTCTGTGGTAAAAAATAGATAACTTTTTCATACCTTACTGAAATTTTGAGCTGAGAATACAATTAATTTTTCTGCATGTGGTAAAATTTTGCTAGTTTGATTTCTATAATATTTTGCTGATTTAGTTTTTCTGATTTTTAAAATCTTCCTATTTATTTCTGAAGTATTTTAAATCGGAGACCTAATCATGTCCCAAAGCATTTAAATCTTTATTTACCTAAATTTTAAAGGGTGCAGATACTTCTTTCCAAGAAATTAATTGCATTGAAACTAACGTTATTGTGGTTTAATTACAAATATTGCATCTTAAATTAGTCTTTTGGCATATGTTTATTGGAACTAAATTTGATACGTGTTCAGTATCTTGCATATTTGATTATAAAATGCTGAAATTTTAATATTTCTTTGAGATTATTTTATCCTGCTTTAGAAATATCCAAGTATAAAATTTCATTCAAGAAGGTTACATAAATTAAAATTTTAGTTAAAATTGTTTTTTTGTTTAGATATTATGCATTATTATAGATGACTGTGCAAGTTGAGTTGCAAAATAATTCGGTTATTCTTCGCAGATTTGTATGTATTTTATGCAATTGCATTTAATTTTCTATGTATGTTACATTTTGCATATATTGTCTCAAGTTTTTACTTTATTATTATAAACTTATTGAATTTGTAAATATTTAATCGTATGCTTTTACATAAGTTACTGTGATTAAGTATTTTAATATTTCTCTTAGTAAATATTTTTGAAAGTTATTAAGTGGCTATTTTTTTACTGACAACTGTTCTTATTCAGAGATTAGTTTATATTAAAATAAACATAGAGCAAAACCACATGAGTTTAATCAGATTTTGTAAATATAAAAGTATTCAGGTTTAAAAAAAATAATTAAGTGTACCATATGGAAACTTTTCCGTATCATTAAAAACCATTAGCTTGGTCTCGATAAAGATGTTCTCTCTATTATTTTTGCAATTGATATAACATGTTATAGATGCTACATTAACTGCTTACATTTTTATGAGATCTGAAAGACCTTTCCATTTACAATATGCAGAGCTTGTATAGTATTTTCAGAAAATATCAGAAATATTATACCACCAAGATTACTTTATTCTGATATTGTGATTTCAGACAGTATTATAAGTTTATTTGGGACTCTTTAAAATCTTTTTTTCTAAGTTATTTACAATAATTGAAAATTTAAATTGTTTGAATAAATTTGATTTTATTATGCTGCAAAGAGAAAAGTGTTTCTGCATTTGACTGTTGCTATTTCTATTTTATAGTGTTGCATCATGAGGAATATTTGAAGTGTTAATTAATAGGATATAAAAAGTATATGAAGAAAACCTGAATTTTGTTTACCAACTTATCAAAATTTTGATTAATTTACCAAAATTATTAATTTTATCCTTTTGCTTTTTTATATGTAACTATAACTTCTAGATATTTCTAACTGTGAAAACACTAAATATTTAATCTAATAAATTAGACTAAGATATGGTAATTAAGACTGAGGTAAGAATAGTTCAAATCTTGAGATAAAATATTAAAAAAAAATTTAAAGCATTATTTAGTTAGTCTTAGAAGAGGTTAATGTACTTATTTTTTTCTTTCTTATTTGTATCATGGGTTCAGATTTATTAGTATTTGCAGTCATCATGTGAAATATCCAAGATTTAAAATGGCATACAATCAAAACAAAAAAGCTAGGTATGAACATTTTTAGTTTTAATTAACAGAATCAAAATTGTCTATTGATTATTAATTTGAAGCTTCAAATTTTAATATTGCATATGCTTTACTGTTATCTCAACATTGCTGAAAAATTGAATATCATCAAATGTAATATTTCAAATGAAAATACAATTTATGACTATTTTTAGAAGTGTATAATTTCTTGCTGAATTCTTGAACATTTATCCTATAGCTGTATTTAAAGTTTTAGATAAGGCCATGAGGAAAGCATTTATTTTTTAGACTGGATTTAGCGGGAATTTGATCATATTATCAGTTTTGTATTATGGTGGAATTATGATGAGTGAAAGTCAGCTTACTATTGGGAGTTTATCATCATTTTTACTTTATGCTGCATATGCTGGGATATCTATTAATGGCAAGTATTTGACATTTTTTTATAATTTACACTGATATCTGAGAACTATAAAGAGATGAGTAAAAAATAAAAATAAATTTAGACTTTTTAGCAAGGCATTTTGCTTTTTATTGATTTTAAAGTTAACAGTAACATTTTACAGTTACTTTTTAAATAGTTAACAGTTAACAGTTACTTTTTAAATTAACAGTTACTTTTTAAATTAACATAAAATAGAATTTTGTAATATGTTTGGCAGTATTATTAAATTTATCCTTCTGTAATTCATCATCATCATTCCTTTAGTAATCAGTTTATCAAGTAATCAATAATCAAAGTTTGTTTAAACTAGCAACTTTAGAAATTCTCAATTCATTATCATTACTTTTAAGAATTGGTTCATACATGAATAGAAATTTGTGTTGTTGTCTAAAATTATCATTACATTCATAAATAAAGTCCGAAATCCAGACTCGTAGAGACTTCGGCGATTTGGGATTTTTCTGGATAGTAGATCATCAGTGTAAATCTAGTAAGATGGCATGCAGAAATTATAAAATTAAAAATATGAAATTGTGATTTATGAAATAATAAAGTATTTGTGATCTAAAGGGTATTAAAATTTATAAAAAAAAGCTTAATGTTTATTTGTTTACCTTATTAAACATTTCTTTCAGTGCAAGTTGTTTTAAGTTGCTTCGTTTTTCGCGCTAATACTTTCTCTTTAATTCTGTAGGTAGACATAATATCTTGTTTTGTTACATTGATGAAGTCCTGTAACTGCTGTTTCGAGAATTCCGACTAACTTATCAATAAAAATTTTCTCGTTTTCAGTAACTTCTCTGTCACTTTCTGCCCTATCGGTAGTAGTATTTTCTGGATCTAGAACCAAACTACAGATTTCACCATTCATATTTGAGAAGCATTGTCATCACAATGAAAAATTTTTTATGTCATCTTCATTTATTACCACTTCTCCACATTTCTTTACAAAATCCATTAATTGGAAAATTTCACTTTTGTTTTGCGATATCCGGAAACCTTTTAATTTAGTGGCTATCATCATCAAATTTAGCTATAATTCACTATACATATTTGGCTATGCATCATGAGCTTGGCGACTAACGGCAAGTTGTTCCATTAAATGTTATCTTGCTTCTACTGCGTATTGAGATACATAAGCCTAAATTGTATTAGTTTATTTATTATTCTTATGTCTATATCTTGTACATACTTAAGGTTTATCAGAATTCTGAATAAATCAATTCCCATATATACTTAAGCCTTATTTAGGGCCGGCGCTAGATATCTTAGCGCCTGATGCAGACTCTGTCAGTCATATTCTGCCGTGCATTGCGGCCATATGAGCTCTGGCGCTGGTTCTGGGTTTATGTGAGTAATAAATCCGTTATTCCTAATTCAAATAGCCCTAAATGTAATCTTTGGGTCTATGAGCAACATTAACAAAATCTATTTTTAGCATATGGAAAGAAATTTTTTCTTGTTAACATTTTTTAGCGCATTTAACTTAAATCTGTAATCATCGGCAAGCATAATGTCAGCATAAAAGATTACCACACTCCTTTATTATTCAATTACTAGCATAAAAAATTTTGTTTAGGCATCGCTACATGAGTCATTATTCAATTTTGTCATGTTTTCATAAACATGCGGTGATGAAACGAAAGTATAATAAATAATGATTCGAAGGTTGGCTTCACATCAAGGATGTATCTGTGTGGAATGTTTCGGTTTGAGATGTATGCCAAGCAGATATGCAGCAATGGAGCCAAATTACTGATCGTACAAATTTAGGCTAAAATGATTGCTTCTTCAATAACAAGGTATTTTATTTAGTGTCGAAGTGAAATTAAGAATCTGGACTCTCCAGATGTTTTATGATGTGCAGAGGGGGGAATCAAATGTGCATGCATAAAGCCTACGAGAAAACGTTGTTGGTAGTTTTGAGGTCCGGATTTTAGATCATTCCAGATAATGGACGTCCGGATTTCGCACTTTGTAATGTATAATGTTTTATGACGCAACTAATCACCACCCTAATTTATTTTTTCATGATATAAGCAAAAGACGATTGTTATCCAATCCAGGTTGATCATTCTTTTCTAAAATGCAAATTATGCCATGAAATCAGAATGGCAAGAGCTTTGTACAAAATAAATTTTCTTGCAAACTTTAGCAATTCAGGATTTAATTTAAGTGTGTCTGTTAAAAAATTATGGTGTTGAAATATCATTCAGAAGTATCTTAATGGAGAAATGTTTTGGAAGAGAAGCATTTAGGAAGAGGGAAGATAGCTGGATGTTTCAAGATACTGTTTACGTCTAAGGAACAATTTAAAGATTCTTTAAACTGTTCCTAGAAAGATAAGATAAAACAAAATCATAAAAGAAAAACGTTAGCAGTAATTTAAACAAAGTAATTGCAGCAAATTATATGCAGAACACTTAGAGGTGCATGTTAGAAAGCTAAAAACTTGCATTTTAAAATGGAAGAGAACTTTTTAGAATTGGTCGCAGACAATATTAGAACTGATATCTGTAATAACTGTCATGTTTTTTTCCTTCTTCCTCCCCATGTGACGAATTAAAGTTCAGTATAACTCCTGATTCTAAATGGGTTGAGCTGGAAGCAGTCAAACACGTAATATTTCTCCTAACATTAAGAAATATGACTGTTGTAGATATGCAAATATATTTATACAATCACTGAACTTACTTCCCTGAGCATTTTTAATAAGAATTTTTGAGAGAGATTACAAACATTTTTGAAAAGACATGTATGCTCTTACTTTTTTATAGATGGTATTGCATGTTTATATCAAGCAGATGGAAATTTCTTGAACTTGGTGACATTGAAAGACTGATGTAACTAATCAAGTTGTTTGATTTTAATTTCATAGAGAACTTTCAGAATCTTTGCGGAGTGGCTGTTGAATGCATATTTAGTTTTCGGTCTGCATTTACAATGTATTCTCGATTATCTGGGTGCAGATTATTCATGAATGGCACGCAACGCTCTGCACAAGAGTATGCCAAAAACAAAAGTCTCAACATGTTGTAAAAACAGCTGACATGCACAAGTCCACACATGTTCTAAGAAACACCGAGTTGTGTCTGTAGGTTTAATTTTTATGATTGCCTTTTACAGTTCATTCTGTCCTTAGTCAAAAGGCATCGTTTGGGTTGATCACCTGAATTGTTTTGTTTCATGCATATTTTCATGTTTATTTTCTTCTTAGAGTTTTAAAAACTGATTTAAAATTTTAGAAGAAATGAGTAAAGAACATATTGCAAGTGCTAAGCACAAGGAAGTTTTTTAACATTAAAAAAAGATTAAGAAATGAATCAAAAGATTTGAATATGGTGAATTGACAGCAAAGCTTGCTGAAAAATATGGTATTGGTGCACATAACTGTTAAAGATGTTTTTAAACAAAAGAAGTTGAAACCTTGATAAGAGATTATGTTAGTGCCGTGGGTCCTTCTAACTGAAAGAGTATAAACCTCTCAACATATGAAAACCGAGATTGAGCTCTGCTGTCTAACCAGAAATAATAGAGCTCGTAATGCCAGTCAGATGTGCATCGAAAAATCAAAGTTTTTGATGAAAAATTTGGATTAGAAGGCATCTGTAAAGTCTCGTCAAGATGGATTACAAATTTAAGCAGGGATATGGTAGTCGAGAATTCGCCATACAGGGAGAACATTTCAGTAGTTGTGTTGAAGCTGCTGATAAATTCTGTATCAGTTTGCAGGAATATTTGAAACAATCTCGTATCTTTAATGCAGATAAGACGGGTTTATACAGTAAAGGCTTGTCTGTTTAGAAAGCACAATGAATACCGAATTCCACTACATAAAAATTCCGAATAGTTGAGCATATAAAAAGTGGAAATCATGTTAGAAAAGCTGAATAAATGGGGAAATTTTTCACTCTAAACTTATAAAAACAATCATTTAATTAGTTATGAACTTGAATATAAAAACCCACATTAAAAATAATTTAAGATTTCAAAGGGGGGGGAACAGATTTCAATCATAAAAGCAAATTTATTTTGATTATTATAAAATACTGCCAGATGTGAAAGTTGGCAGAGGTTTTGCCAGTCATTCTGGTAAAAGTTCATAAGAACAGATCTTTTTATTTAGTTAGATAATAAAGAGTTGCACATTACGGATATGTCTTATAAAAATTTAAAGTGCTTATCATAATTTTTCATGTTACTATTGTTAATCTGCTAATGTTTTATAAGCCGCATTTTGTGGCTTTTATAATGCTTACATCCTGTGCTTTTAAAAATATTCCACTTCATGTAGTCTCAGATATTTTTTTTTTTTTTTTTTTTTTTTTTTTTTTTTTTACTACCAGTATTCAATGACTGGTGCTAGTGGGCCTATCAAATACATACAAAGATAAATTATTCAACATTCTCATGCTTGTATTTATATGATGCGAACAGATTACTGTTTTATTTTGCGCATAATGGAATGAAATTTTATCCATAATGGAAAGCAGTATTTAAAAAAAAAATTAAATGTCAATGAATTATTGATATAGTAAAATTTCCTATTGTGATCGCCTCCTGTAGACAATCACTTTTGAAAGCAACCTGTATTTCTGGGAATGTAAACATGCATTGGTATTGAACATCATTTATGGTTGTCACCTTCATCTTGTGAAAGATCAAAATCATCTGGAACTAAATTTTCATATTGGAGAGGGTTCATTGCTTTTTACATGTTATGAGCCTTACATCTTGCAAAATACTACTTGCTGAGAAATTTTAATATACCAAGATTTTTTTCTGAAATTAAAAAAGTTAATTTAAAATGGTTTAATTCTGGTTTTTAATACTGTAGTAATTTTAATACAGTCATCTCTGTTATCATTGTTAATAGCAACCAGAACCGGCCGCAATAAGTGAAAAACCGCGAAGTAGTGTCACCATCTCATTTTTAACATGCATACATTTTTCGTGTATGTATAATATCAATAAGTGTA